AATCTCTTCTTCCATTTAGCAGTCAGGGATTTATTGAAAGAAAAACTTAAATAGAAGTGACTAATTATCACCTCTATTTCTCTCCTGAAGGATGAGTCCCCAAAGATTGCAGATGCTGATTGAGGAAGGAAGATTTTATAGTTTAACTATTAATTCTGAGAAACCAGAAGTAATAAAAAAGGGGGAGAAAACACCTAATTAATTTATTGTTCAGGTTGACTTTACTAAAATAACAGCCGTTGTTATGAGTCTTATCAAAGTTTTAATTTTTAATTTTTTTTTAAATGTCGCTTGCTTTTTTAACTAAATCTGAAAATTAAAATAACATCAAAAGTATATCAAACAGTAGAAATGTATGTAGACTAATCAGGAAGATGTCTTTGTGGTCAGGATAAATCAAGACTTCTGGCAGAATGAAAAGAATTGAGTTTCATTTATAAAATCTACAATAACTTGAGTTAGTGATGAGGTCACCCAGAAGAACGTCACTTCAAGCTTCAGCAGCTGAAGGTTTTAAGAGCTACTGAGTCATAGAGTGGACAAGTCGTACCAAACACTGCAAGGTCAAAGTGGAGCTTTTCTCCTGAGGTTGTACAGAACAATTCCAGACGTCGTGAAAACAACTCGAATTTTCTCAAGTGCAGATAAAAAAGTTCTGTCAACAAAGTCAAATAATGGTTAGATGGCTTCATTAGACAGTAGGTCACAATGTAAGGAGTTAATTTTGGTTCATTATTGTTGCAGGCAAACATGATTGGTAAATGGAAATAAATAAATAAAAATTAGAACATGAGGAAAGTTTATTATTAACGTGAACAAACTGAAATCAATCAGATCAGATTTAAACCAGTCTAGAGCTGTTCCTTTAATTCCAACAAGATATTTAAGTCTTTCTAAAAGAATATTATGATCAACTGGATCAAATGCAGCACTGAGATCCAACAGGACGAGCACAGATACAAGTCCATTATCTGAGGCCATGAGAATATCATTAGTGACTTTCACCAGAGCGGTTTCAGTGCTATGATGCACTGCAAAAATTATCTAAATATAAGTAAAAATTTCTTAAATTAAGTGTATTCACCCTTAAAGCTACAGTGTGTAACTTTTAGCGACATCTAGAGGTCAGACTGCGGACTGCAGCAACATGAACATCTCCCCCCCACCGCTTCTCCCCCCCAACAGTACGGCGAGCGTTACGGGACAAAATGTCTTCCACGACGTCCGCATCACCTACCTTCTCAAGTGATGAGGTTTGTTTACATAGATAATTTTACATATAGTATTTCATTAGTCTGTGTAGGGTATAGATTTCATGTAGACTTAAGATAATAAATATATCCGTTATTTTTTCTACATCGTTGTGACATTTTGGCGATCTCGCAATCACTAGTTTGTTGGCTCTGCGCTGCCGTAGCGCAAAGATGTCTGCCTCCATGGCTGCGAGACCCGCTCCTATGTAATTATAAATAACGAATTCTAAGGCAACGCAAATATTAAGGTTAAGAGGCTGAGCTCGTAGATGATGATAAATAACATAGTTATGTATAATATATTGCATTTCTGACTGTATATCCCTGTAATTATTACACACTGTAGCTTTAATTTGAGTAGGTAAATGAGATAGTTTGCCAATGGAATGAGTAATTTTACTCTTGAAATAAGATAATTAGATAATATGCAGTTGAAATAAGTCAATGCAATTGTGTTTTCTTAATTTAAGTGTAAATTGTCTTGTTCCAATTTGCAAAATGTCTCTTTTACCTCCTCAATTCAAGAACAAATGCACTTGTTTTAAGAAAAAATGACTTATCTAGATTTAGATTTTTTGCAGTGTGAGCTCTAAAGCCAGACTGAAACTCTTCAAAAAGTTAATTATGGTGGAAGTGATTACAAACTTGTTTGGCTACTACTTTCTCAAGGATTTTAGATAAGAAAAGAAGATTGGATATAGGTCTATAATTTGCCAGTGTGGGGTTAAGAGTCTGGAACCCAGAGTGGCAGTCTGTGGGAGTGGGGCTCGAACTCAGAACCGAGTGCCCGTGTATGTATTTCTTATTTTTTTAATCACTTTTGATATTTTTTTTTCTCCATAACATTTTTTAATTATTGATGATAATGATATTATCATTATCAATTACCAATTATTAATGATAAGGAAGCTTTTTCAATTGAAACACTTCCTGCATGGGAAGCAAAACATCTTCAAACCTCAAAACTGACAAATTGTATTTAAATTCAGAGGATTATAGACTCGGATTAGCTGTTGTTGCTGAGCTGCATTGGTTTTTCCTACAAAAAGGTGAACACATAAACTCATCAGTGGCTTTCTCTTCTGAACGCACGGGCAGACTCTTTTCAAGTTACCGTTTGTTAGTGCATTTCAATCATTTGACTTCTTCGTCTGCAGGTTGCTGGTTGCAGAGGTTGCACTTCACATGGAGATTTGCAGAGAGGAACCAGGGGATGAAAATAACTCTGCAGGAGTCGTGTTCCTAAATCTGTTCTCACGTAGAGATGCAGATGTGAGGGAAAAAAAGCCTCTGAACAGTTAGGAGGAAAAATTTCAAATAACTTCTATCCTGATGGGTTATTTTTCTACACAAAAAGAAAAACAAAAAAAAGTTCTATTGCTGCATTGTTTCCTTTATGTACGGCGGCTTTTGTTCCAGATTACATGCTGAAAACATCCCTATAGAGTCGGATGTCAAACAGTGTAAAATAAAACAAAGTATCATTGCTTTCCTCTTAACAGAATCTGTTTTTAGTTCAGTGGTTTTTTTCTTTTATCACATTATATTATTTCCCTGTACTGAACGCAGCAAAGATGCTGCTGCTGCTCTAATATACACAACAGAAATGTTTCTCATCTGGAGAGGAAATGTTGTCAAAACAGGATAACTGATGAATAAAGCAACTGATACGAGATCAAAAGGCAAAGAAAGGGAAAGTCGATGATGACTTGTTATTCTCAAAGAGGACAATGGATGTGGAGGAACTGAAGGCAGGAAAAATGGGTTTTACTGAACTATAAGGACATACCTTGAGGTTTAGAGGGTACATACTGTACAATACGCTGGCAAAATTATGAACGAAAAGAAGTCTGAAGAATAGTAAATTTAAATAAAAAATATGTGCATAGAAATTTGGTGTGTATACAAAGATCCAGAATGTTCTCTAAGATGAGCTGATGGTCAGCAGGACGGTGTGTCTGTCTACTTGGGGGAGTGTTGGTCTAGTGGTTAGATAAGTCTGTGCTCTGAGAAGGTTGCAAGTTCCCGGTTCGATCCCCACAGACCCCCACTCTGGGTCCCTGAGCAAGACCCTTAACACCACCCTGCTCCACGGGCGCCGCACAATGGCAGCCCACTGCTCCCCCAGCGGATGGGTTAAATGCAGAGAGGAAATTTCTCCAATTTGAGTCAATAAAGTTCTTTAAAAAAACAAATACTTGTATTTCATTACATATAGACTAGTAGCCTGTTTGAACGCTATATTCCGTGAAATAGTCAAAGGCTGTTCTTGGCCGCTGCCTTGAGGAATTCTAGGAACTTTCCCATTTTTATTGTTGGACTTCAGTTTAGAGATTTGGTGAAATTTAAATGTAATGTTTGGGTTCCTAAGTACTGGTAAGGGTCTCATTGGGTTAGGCATAAATGCAGTAAATGAATGATAGTCAATGTAAAGTCTAGTTACAGTAGCAGCCATGCAAAATTTCCCTACTTTCCTTGATGGGTCCCTGGCTGGTTCCCTTTGATTCCTTTTTTAACATCAATCTTTGTACTAAAATATTCTTTCTCAGAAGCGCCATCTCCTGGTCAGACCCTGTAATTCAGTGAAGAGTAAAACAAAACAATATGAAGACCCAGGACAAGGAGGGGGTCACTCCAGTGGCTGGAAGTTGGAGGGAATTGTGCCGCCATTCGGCTGGTGTTTGACTGGGAACGGCCATTTTGAATGGCTGCTACTGTATGAGTACAAAAAATGTATGGGGGGTGAAATGATATTGTTTAGTCACAGGGGGGCAGGATGTTTTTTTTTATTGCATGGGCTAATCCAGAAACATCCCACTGAGAAAATATTGGTTGATAAAACAACATAGGTCCAAACTTTGTCTACATGAAAAGCTGTTATTTTCAGATTGTTAAAAATACATTGAAAACTGATTTTTTTTTCCAGCATCTTTTCAACATATATCATTTGACTAATGTGGACAAAATCAGACCAACCAAATACAAATCAATTTTTAACATCCATTTCTGGACTAAATCCAGACTATCAATGACCATCTAATCCTAACTCTAACCCATCAGATTTAATCTGGTGTTTGAGGGGATTATTTGTTAGAAAAGTCTTCCCTGGTTTTTAAATGTTAATCACTAAGCCTTGTTTTGTTTTTTTTTTGTTTTTTTTAAGTTATTTAAAAATAAAGCTGCCATACTTTTAGCTTTAGCCGTATTGAGTTAAAATCAGAGTTTTCCTCTGCATCCTGCAGCCCCAGAGACTTTGGCTCATCTTCAACCATTAACTGTTGCACTGTTTTGTTTTTGTTGTTTTTTATTCATTTACCTTCTGTCCTCATGAAAACTCCTCAGCCCAACCCTGCCCACCTTAAAATGTTTGATCTAGAAGTGCCATTGACACTGAAACAAATAAAAATCGACAAATTCTCTGCATATATTTTTATCTGACCCCATTGTTGTCATTTTTTTAGCTTCATTCCTTCTGATTCTAGCTTGTTTTCATGATGCTGTTTGTTTTCGATGTTCTCTAACAAACCTGTAAACCAAAAACCTAGATCCAATCAAACAGATCATCCATGCAGTGTCGTAATACTAGTTGTACTTGTCAGCATGGAGTCACTGTTTATAAAAACATGCAAACGGCTCTGATTCAGATTTTTCATTTTTCTAAGTGTTTCCTTTCGTCTTTTTATTTCCTAAAGCTCAGATATTTAAGCTTTTAGTTTGTTTTTCTTGTTGTTTTTGTTGCTTAGATAAGAACGCAAGATGGCCACCCCTGCTGTCATCAGCCTCCTCTCTCAGAGACCATGCAGCATTCTTCCAGTCGGAAGCAATGCGCCCAGCCAATGACCCCAAAGAGCGGGACCCCTCCCACGTACGGATGCTGAATGATGTGCTGCGCGATCTGGAAAAGAGCTTCATCGTCCCACAGACGCCGCCTGGAGTGTACAGGTAAAGGAGGCGGGCAGTAGGTTGATTTATCTACTGTAGAGCAGTTTGCTCCCAGCCCTGCAGCACATTGGCTGCTTCTACATTTGCAGAGATCAATGAGACATTGAGCAGCAACATTATTAGTATGAAAACATTGATGGGATTGGATGAGATCTGAAATCTCCGGTTCTTCTGCTAAATGTAAGATGTTGTGCTTTAGTTAAAAATTCATTTACGCTCAGAGGATTCCTACAGGGATGGAAGGACTGGCCATAAATGTCTTTAAATTAAGCAAACTTGCAAGCAACTGCTTCTCCACAAGTTTTTTTCTGCCACTTCGGTTCATTACCTTTGGCTTTCAGCTGCAGAAGAGTCACTTAGCAGCACAGCAGTTGGAGTTGAAACACATTTCAATGTAATTTTTTTCTTTCTTCCTGCCTGACCTAAAGGACAAACAGGACAGCAAACAGAACTAAACCAAAGTTAAACGAGGAACAATCTGTTATGTTAAAAAGAATAAACTAAATAAATTTTGAATCTGGTGTAGTGATAGTGATCAGTAACCAAAATCAAATCTATATATAGTTTCTAACTGATCGTGGGACGTCTGATACAAACATGACTGCATGGTTTTATTTTCCTCTCCAAAGTTAATCATTTTATAGGACATTTTAATAATCAGTGATTATATGTTGGTTTGTCAACAGAAATAATATTCAACAGACTTTGAGATAATTCCAATCAGAATTTTACGAGATGTTTTGTTTACTGGAGAGTTAATTGCCTAAGCTTTAAATCGTCTTGCATTCAACAGTTTATTGTTTGACACAATGAGAATAAAGCACTGATTCTGGGGGTTATCAGGTCCAGGACTGGTCACGACTGGTTTCTCTGCAGAGGGGGACTGAATGGTTAGCAGATGTCCAGGTATCTTTGCTGGTAGAATGAGTGTAGGTCTGTACCTGTTCTGAGGTTTGAGCAGAGCGGCAGAGGGGGGGAACCAGGAGGGTCCAGAGGCTGTCGGCAGGCAGAGGGCAAGGCAGAGGCAGAGCTTGGTTATGATCTTGCAGATTAGGATCTGTGTTTCTCTTTCAGTTTCTTCTGAGAGCGGGCAGGCAGGTATCTGATAGGTTTGACTTCCAGAGTTCTTCAGAGATCAGACAGGCTGGTTTCAGACTGAGAAACTCTTCCAGAGTTTCAGGGTTCAGACATGTTCTTCCATAACTGGCAAACACTCTGGCGCTGGAGTGTTGCTCTGCCTCTCCTTAAATGCTGGTCTCCTGATGAGCAAACGAGCCGCAGGTGTGAAGTCAGCTCCAGCTCCAGGAGACCTAGAACGCCCTCTGTAGGAGAAAGGTGGACAGACCTCCAGATCCCAACAATTTCTTATTACTGATGATCGGGTTAGAATTAAAACTTAACATTTACAGAAACAGATCAATCAGATCATCCAGTCCGATTAAAGCTTTAATGGTTTCTGTCTGAAGGAAACCAGCTGATTGCATCCAGTCATCGACTTTGCGGGATTCGTTCCAGCAGGATGAGCCGGTGGAGACAGTGGACATTGAGTCATTGCCCGCAGCAATCCCTCACATTAAATCATGCGGCGACAGTGGAGAGGAAATAAAGTAAAACAAAAAAACAGATGCGTCTGCTAGGTTGGCATAGCCAAACTTCCCACACCCCTCCGTGGGGCGTTTGATTTCATACGCACTGATAATGAGAATATGTTGTATCTCTCTTGGATAACACCTTGAAAATATTCTCCTTCTCCATCTTTTGTAGGGTTGTAAGCTCTTGGTTTGTACCAGAATATTAGATAAAAGCTGCACGGAGTATTAAAGCTGCAGACGTTGTACAGCTGCAGAATGTTCACGCCTTAAACGCCACTTAGTTTGTTGTTATAATATATATAAATATATATTTATAACCTTTTTTGAAAGGTCCTACAGGCTGCATCACCTCTAAACAAGAGGCAAAAAAACATGGAAACCAAGAAGCTCTCCAAATGAGAGCCAGACATCATATTCAAACTAAAAGCACAACAAACCTGCCGATAGAGAACCGCCCAGCAGAACTGAAAGACCCAGAAAGGTGGACATTAACCTGCTGTGCTGCACAGTGACCAACAGTAATGCTGAGATAGTGAAGAGACTGCAGTGTCTGTCTGCATGACCACAGTGAGCTTAACACAATATAGAACTAAGCTTTATAGAAAAGACACCTTAGAAAATCTAACGATTTATGCTCAGAAATAGGATGTTCTGTGATGAATTTCCCAAAAAGCCTGTGAGCGACTCCCTAGATGTCCGAATAAGGATGCCACTAAACCTACTAAGAAGAAAGCCCAGCAATCCCATCAAACCAGCATCACCGGAAAAGCGAAAGTAATCTGAGGCCTAGCAAGAGATTGATGAGCTTTAAGATGCTGTGGCTGTATTTTTTGGCTGGCTTTGTCTAAACAATATAATAAATCTTCAAAGTTGTAGAAATGTTCTGTTTTAATTCCAGGTTTTAAGGCAACAAACCTTAAAAAATGCCAATGGGAATGAAATGCTCTTCCAGGCAGCTGAATATGTATTTATACATGAAGATTTGCATTTTAAAAAAAACATGGCTTCCTGTGTTCAGTAAGCTGCACCAATAATTAGCGTCTCTCAGACAGTAACGTGCTGCTATCCTGGATTTAGAAGCAGGTGAAGGATGTCAGAGTTCAAAGTTCCTGCTCTCTCCTATTATTATTTGGCTGATGTTTCTGGGAAGGAACTTTCTAATTGAAAGCCAAAAATAAATTAAGCAATAAATCATAATTCAGGCACGTTCAAGCCGACGCTTCACATGCAGAGTTTAAAAAAAAGTGTAACTCAGGTAAATAATATCTGTCTGTATTGTGAAGGTAGATGATCAACTTCTCCGCCTCAGCTGCTGCACTGAGAATTCAGGGTTCAGGGACACGAAAGAAAATAGACTCAGGGTGGAGATAAGTGTCGTGGGGAAAAAAAAGTATTCAACTATTAGGGTTGTCAAAAGTATCGATACTCAAAAAAGTATCGATACTGAGACGTTGTATCCGGATACAATACTTGTTTTTAAAGGTATCGATACAGTGCTACCACCAGTGGCACCTAAGCAGTCATTCATCTAAAGTGCAGATTAGAGGACAATGCCCTTTCAGAACACTGTGATTGAATAATTCTACGCACTTTTCAGTTTCAGTTTTTTGTAAGAGGTTCCATTGTTATGTGTGCAAAGCATAGCCAAGGAAGGAACACTTAATTTTAGTTTTGTAAGTTTTTATCAAGCTTGCTTAATATTGTGCACAGCAAACAACCTCAAAATATTGTTCTTATTGTTTATTGTATTTTATTTATTAATGAAAATATTTCTGTTGAAATTTAGAGTCTTTGTTTTTATTCTTGTGGTATCGAAAATGGTATTGAGTATTGAATATTTTCCTTAGTATCGGTATCGAAAAGTTGAAAAGTTTAGTATCGTGACAACCCTATCAACTATAAATTCCAGTTAATAAACCAAGATTGATGGATTTCACTCAGTCGGCCATTTATTTTTACCTTTGCAAAGAGAGAACAGTTCATCATACGGCCCTTATCGCCCTGTACTCAGTCCTGTTCTGATCTGGGCAGCGTTCCTTCCTGCTTACTGAGAATAATGAAAATAAGTCAAAACAAATTATACTTTGGAAAGAATCTGAACCTTGAGAAAGAATCTGATTTGAGCTGAATCCAGTTAACGTCCTGGGAGAAGAAGTGAAGGTGGTAGAAGAGTACAAATACCTCGGTGTTCACCTGGACAACAATGTAGAATGGAGACCCAACTATACGTCTGTAAGAAGGGACAGATCAGACTGGACTTCTAGAGGAAGCTTAGGTTAGTCAAAGATCTCTTCTGCCATCATCTGCTGGAGTAAAAGCATCAGAGCAAATGACTTAAAGAAGCTTCACAAGCTAATAAAGAAAGACAGCTCTGTTCTAGGAACTCCTCTAGAACCTCTGGAGATTATTTAAAAAAGAAAAATTCTTCATAAAGAACATTATGGACAACAGTGAGCGTCTTCTTCAGACGATTGTTAAACAACAACAAAATGTCTTCAGTAAAGACTTCCAGAGGCAGGACAGACTCTCTGATGCCTTCAACATCTGGAACGGCTTGTTGGCAAACTGCTGATTTTCTGCCACGATGGTAATTTCCCTTTGAGATTGATAAAGTATTTTGGATTTAAATCAAATTTGAATAGTTTAAATAGTTGGCAGTGTTTTGAGGGTCCAGGATAATTGGGAGGCAGAGTGATCTAAATATATGTGAATTTTCTAAATTATGACCAGGATTCATTTCTACCCAATTTAAAAGCAAGTAAATCCAATTTATCTGCTGTTAAATTTAATTTGATTCAACCCGACTGTTTTCCCTAAACATGCATCAAAGCGGTTTAAGAGGATAACTGCATAACGTGTTTGGGGTTCTATATGATGTTCGAGGTATAAGGTGAAAAGTCACAATAGAGAAAGGTTATAATTTATAGTAAGAATGGCTTAATCATGTCATTGTGTGTATGTTCTATTTAAAGGTTTCCAATAAATCAATAAGCTGCTTTTAAAGAACAGAGGAAATTCTGACTGCGCTCCATGCGGCACATTAAATGCTGTAAACAGATATAAAGTCTTACTTCATACATCTCAATCTTAGCGCTCTCTTTTGAGAGACTCATTTATTAAATGCCAAAATAAAAGAGTGTGAAATGGTCACATGGTGTGTCATATATCCCCTGGAGTTATTTAAATTCATGACTTCATTTCAAAAGGTCTTCCAGTCGCCTGCCATCAAAGAGATAATTAAAGGGGCCCTTATTAAATGTCAGCTGTTTAGCATGCAAAACTCTTTATTGTCAGAATATGGTGATGGTGACTCCAGCAGTATTGTGAACGCTGATTGGTGGAATGTCACGGATGCTAAATGAACGTAGGTTGTTTAGAACCATCTTTCAGGTCTCACCTGTTTGAACG